CACGAGTGAGCGTAGCGAAAATATCAACTTTACGAAATGGAAAAAATATAGGTATCTGGTATTTCATAGATAATAGTCTCCTTCACGGTTACCTGCGCCATCTTGAAAGGTAGCCGTGCCTTTGCATCGAAGCGAGACAACCGTTGAGCGTGCAATGATAGAAACCTTCTTTCGCACATACAGACAATTATTCACAGGTATCTATCATTGCACGCTCAACGGTTGTCTCGCCTCGATGCAAAGGCACGGCTACCTTTCAAGATGGCGCACCTAACCGTGAAGGGGACTATTATGTGATAAATAGATATATTATGCATTCAAAATTCAAAATGATATTCAACAGAATAATTGGTTTATAGTGGGATTTCCTAGCGATAATTATGTGCATTTTGGCGTACAGGCACCAAACTTGGCACAGATCAGAAAGGAGGCCAAAGAATCGGAACTTAGGGGGGGAGGGGAAGTTTTGTCACGAACGCTTAATATGTCATCAACCAAGTATGAAAGTCCATTAAAATGCAAAGATATGCTTGGGTGTTTCTCAAAGTCTGCCCCAAATATCCTAGAAATCGCCATAAAAGGAGACAGACTCGAAAGGGTATCCAGCTACAAACTCCTTGGTATCCCGCACATTTCAGAAAAGCTAACATTGAACAAGCACATCAGGAAAGCATCAAACGCACCTACTTCATTAAACTCAGTTAAACTGGCGGGGGTAACTAGTAAAGATCTTTAGCGCATGTATCTGTATAACCTCAATTAGATCAATTGTAACATGGAATAGGCAGCCCCTGCATGGTTTTTCCCGAGTACTACACACCTAGTTGAGAACTTGAAGCAGTACAAAGGCGTGTACTGTAGTGATAGGCGCGCATGCGCGAGTCTGTGTGTAAAAGTAGCGTGGCTCATGGTTTTGGATGTGGCGCGATGTTGAGTTCTTGTTGATTAAAAACGAAGTGTCTATCACAAAGTGTCTTTATTACAGTACTAAGAATAATTTTTCCAAACTCAACTGTAAAAATTCTGATGCCTTACAGATGGCGAACATAACTTTAGTCATGTCAAACTTCAAGCAAATGGGAAATAAAGAATACAAGCTAAATCATTTGTTCCCTCTAACTTAGCTAGTGTACRAAAAACCTTTTATAATCTAAAAGATCGCAAGCGAAATGGGTGCTTAAAGTTTAGCAACACGTACTAAAAGAACAGCCAATTCGTTTTCATCAGAGCTAGCAGAGAATACACTAAAGAACTCTTTTGAAATCATTAACTGGCAAATGAATTAAATTCCTATTAATAAGATATGTTTTACCTTCTCTCCTTTTCGACTTGTTCTGCAAAACAGTTTGGAGCTTGTCTACGACATTCTTTTAGTAAAATTATYATTATTAAAAGTATTTCCAGAGGTTATCTATTATTTTCTAAAATGTGTGTGTACCTACACAGTTGAAGTTTTATGCATGCC